ATGAGAAAACAAAGACAATGGGAAAAGAAGTATTTTAACGGATGAAAGAATCATCAGTAATATCCTAGAGACGGTAAAAACTAAAGAGTTGTTTTAATGTATAGTGAATATACGCATGGATATCTTGATGTAATACTGCTTGTTTTTCAACTACTGATGTTTGTATCACAAAATGTATCTGTAAAATAGAGAATCTGTCTATATTATATAAAGAGCTCTAAAATGTTTTTTAATACCAAAAACTAAGTTTTATAAAAACAGTAAGTATATAGAGAGCTTTCTTATTTTAAGATTTTTCACTGTATAATTTTAAAAGAGTTATCGCATGATGCGGAGGTTGTCTCTATCTTCCTCATCTGTTATTCACCAATAACATACTTTATTGCTTATTACAAATAATTTGATATCGACAATGTAAAATGTGTTTGTCACATAAACTGCTTTGCAGGAGTATAATAAAGCTATTTAATAAAAACGATATTAAACTAGTGTAATAACACTTCGAAGTGACGTCATTTGCGCTATATTTAAACATAACGTTAAAGCGCGCTAGTATTAGCGTTACATTATAGGCACTGATCCATTTTAACTGTAAACTGTTTTTTGAATATGTGATAAATTGAATATTATATTGTTGTAGAAACAATACTTAATTTATTGAACTCGTTGAATAAAACAATATTATGCTCGCTAGAGGCTCGCATAATATGATTTTATTCAGCACGTTCAATAGATTTAGTATTAAACCGACACTCATTCAATATCCTCTATTTCTTTATCAACCATAAGTTATTTCAAATAACACTAATTTGCAAAGTAGTTATGATCGATAGCCTTTACTTTTTGACAAAACACCGATATATTTTAACACAAATCAGGCTGTAAAGTAGTAATCATAGGTTTGAGTTTGGGCATTTGGGATGAGACTCTCAGATAAAAGCAGTTATGTTTATAAAACGTTCATAACCAGAATGTAAAACATACAATTAAAACAAATCATACCAATATACATTTGTATGAAACATGTATTTCATTTACGTAGGACGAATCAAAACTTGGTCTGCACTGACAAGTTCGATTTGTGTTTAGTGAAACACCCACAATACCAATAACAAAGTGATCCCTCGGAAGCATTAATCACAACAAAATTACAAGAGAATTGCAGACTCGGTTTGATTGAGTCCGTACATGAGGGATAATGAATACGTGCAACATCCTTCAAGCCCCCTAGCACCGGCTTGAGCGGTACTCAATTCTCAACACTTAATAGTGCTGACATGAATGATCCCGAAGAACCAGAAAAATATAAAAACACTGAAGTTAAGTACGGGGCAACTTTATACAGCTGTCACAGCACCACTTGACACCTGCTGTTGTGAAGTATAATAATCTAGAAAACAAAGTAGTGATCCCTCGGAGGCATTAATAACAACAAAATTACAAGAGAATTGCAGACTCGGTTTGATTGAGTCTGTACATGAGGGAATAATGAATATATGCAACATCCCTCACGCCTCTAGCACTGACTTGAGCAGGTACTCAATTCTCAAACACTTAAAATAGTGCTGGCATCAATGATCCCGAAGAACCAGAAAAATATAACAACACTGAAGTGAAGTACGGGGCAAACATTTTACAGCTGCCACACAGCACTTGACACCTGCTGTTGTGATGTATAATAATCTGGAAAACAAAGTTTATCGATCGGAAGCATTAATCACAACAAAATTACAAGAAAATTGCAGACTCGGTTTTGATTGAGTCCGTTCTTGAGGGATAATGAATACGTGCAACATCCCTCACGCCCCCTAGCACCGGCTTTGAGTGGTACTCAATTCTCAAAATTCTGGAAACAAAGTGATCCCTCGGAAGCATTAATTACAACAAAATAACATAATAATTGCAGACTCGGTTTTGATTGAGTCTGTACATGAGGGATAATGAATAAGTGCAACATCCCTCACCCCCTAGCACCGGCTTGAGCGGTACTCAATTCTCAACACTTTATAGTGTTGGCATCAATGATCCCGAAGGACCAGAAAATATAAACAACACTGAAGTGAAGTACGGGGCAACTTTTTTAACGGCTTGCCACACGGCACTTGACAACCTGCTGTTATGATGTATATAATATCTGGAAACAAAGTTATCGATCGGAAGCAATTAATCACAAACAAAATTACAAGAGAATTGCAGACTCGGTTTGATTATAGTCCGTTCTTGAAAGGGATAATAAATACGTGGCAACATCCCTCACGCCCCCTAGCACGGATTGAGCGGTATTCAATTCTCAACACTTAATAGTGCTGGCATCAATGATCCGAAGGGGAGCAGAAAAGTATAAACAACACTGAAGTGAAGTACGGGGCAACTGTTTACAGCTGCCACACAGAACTTGAACACCTGCTGTTGTGAAGTAATAATAAATCTGGAAAAGAAAGTGATCCGTCCGGAAGCATTAATGACAAAGACATGGTATTTGAAGAAAAAAATAAGAGTGTTTGTAAAGGATCGCCAACCTCAACATTCAGATAGAGATCATTGCCCTCATCTAGAAATATGTAGTTGATATTGAAACAGAATATATAAACGGCATCCTAAATCATTTAATATGATGATAGCTCCAGTAACAAAATGCTTTTTAAGGTCATCTTATTTCAGGTTTTCTTTTCCTGTATGTGAAACAAATTTTCACTACATATTTTGCTTATTCATCAAAGCGCTAAAACATCTTTTTAATATTTTTGGGTACTTAAAACAGAAACACGACCCCAAAAATATTACAACAACAAAAAACAAGACAACACAAAAGTAATCAATAAGGGGTTCCTATATGTCTCACTCAAATATACATATGTGATAAAAAAAGATGTTATTCCATGACTTCGATAAACTTAATTTGCTTTTAAAGCATAAAAAATATCTATATCAAAGTTATGTTAAAATTGTAATACAAATAAAATACAAATACCTACAAAATAGAGTGAAATAAGCATCCCTAATATATATCAATATATATTCTTATATCATAAAACATGGACTATTAAAATAATGTACGTAGATGGATAATGGTCATATTGTTAAAATAATTGTTACATCTGTATATTACCCAATTTATATAAGGAGAAATGTAATTTGTACATACTGCTTCTAAATAAGATATATGAAAACTGATATTATTTAAGAGTGTAAAGTTTCGTGAGAAACAGCAGTAAACAGGTTTCGTACACAACTACAGGTTAAATAGCGGTAATTATTTCATGTACCTTGTTTGTATACATTTTCAATATTTTCGAAAAAAAAAAAGATTTATGCAGTTTGTTTTTAAATAATGTATCCAATAAGTAAACATGTATAACTTTTACGTGCTGTAGATTCTTCGCTGTCGGCAAATATAGCAGCGGACATGATTCGGCGTCGTTTCTCCGATTACGTCTTGTGTACAACTCTGATATAAATAGATAAGGTTGTGCATCTGACCCCTTTTATGCCGACGTAACATTTATCACCTGTTTCTATAGTACCCAACACTTGGGAAAATAGGTTTTACAAAAATGATTTAAATAGCCGAGCTCAGACTCAAACAAACATATTCGCTTAGATAATCATTATAGATTTTTAGATTAATTAAAGTATGACTGCTTGTCATCCCTTATAGAAACAGTAATGTATAATTCTATTAAAAATGACCATACCGGTATGTTTTTATGGTTTTATATGATGTATATTAATCCCCCTAACTTATGGCTACCTTCCTTAACAGCGTAGATAAACACCAAAAGATAACATTACAGCACTGGTTCATATATTTATATGAAACTAGGTGGTTGAAAAATGTACCATCTTAGCATAACTTTACATAAATATATATAAGTTCTATACATTAACAATAGTAAATCTACAATAATAATTGTTTATATTTCTATCAAACAATGGGAAAGGACTTGCTAGAAATCGCTTCTTTTGAGGGTCGAGTGTGTAACATTTCCCTCGTCCCATCAATGGAAAAAATAATTGCCCTGAATATTCTCAGAGGCTTTCAACACATTCATATAGTGTAGTTAAATGTCGGATATTCTGCATATTAACTCGTCGGAATCGGTTTGGTAAAACCAGAGATACCTATAAAAAGGTCCAAAACGCCCGTGTTGTATCTTAAAGGTTACGCGATATTGCCACATTATAATAGCGGTTAAAAAGAGAGCAGTTATATTTATTACATGATAGTTCAATACATTTATGAGCAGCATATTACCAAATATGCTGCATGACAAATAATGAGACGCGTTGTTAACTGGCAACGCGCTTGAATGTATCTTTTAAAGTCTGAAAAGATTACATATATATGTTTTTATTATAGGGACTGCCTATAATTCGTTGATTAGTGTTAAAAATGTGTCTGTGTGTGTGTGGGGGGGGGGGGGGAGAGGACGGGGTGGGGGAAAGGACGGGGATGGGGGGAGAGGCACATCATTCCCTGCAAACTTCATGTACATCATTCCCTGCAAACTACATGTGCATTTATAAAATGTTTTTTTCTCATAATAACAGTTTTAATTAATAACCTTACACTATAAATCATACAAGACTCTTTTTACAGTAAAAACTTATAATTTTGCTGAACATGAATATCTTTAATATCCTATCATATCTTTAATCAAACATGCAACACATGTAACTTCAATCAAAACCAACCGTTATCTAAAGTGTAAAGTACTAATACATGTATTTGGTCAAAACCTTGTTATTTTATCATACATATGATAGGTTACACAAAACCTTTGGTAAATTTAAATATAACTGAAACGTGACATATCAGCTTCATTTACATGAACATATTGTCAAAGTTGAAAACGCTCCATACATAACAAGAATGTTGCTTCTTTACATTGTTTTTGTTATATTGGTTCTCTATGTTTTTTTCAAGTTACGCGGAAAACAAAGAGGAAATCGACCTCCACGTGTTAAAGGTCTGCCAATAATAGGAAATGCAATGGACATAAATGAAAACAATCTTTTTGATAAATTATATTCATTTTCAGAGAAATATGGAGAGATATTCGAAATGAAGATTCTGCATCAGACTTTTGTGAGTCTCAATTCTGAGAGTTTGATTCGTAAAGCGTTAGCAACAGAGCCATATACACGTTTTATGAATGAAAGGACTAAATTTTTCTACGGAGAGTCAATGTTGTATGGCAGTCAAAGTGTATTTACTTATGGAGATCCATACAGTAAAGTATACAACGGAATGCGCAAAGGTGAATGTCATTTAAAATTTTCTTTTTCTCTTCTATTATAAAAAACAAACATTTTAACAATTAGGTTGCAATATTCACAATAATTAATATAATTACTAAACGAATACATAAATAACCAAAAGTATGTTTGTTTTAAAAGAACAATCGTTACTATTATTTTAATTTATTCATAATCATTGCACTCCAATTATGTACATCTACAATTATTTGCTTGAAAATGAAGATGTTAAAATGCTATTATTAGGCATGGTTAAAGGTCTTCATGTGTATGGACAAGAAGGATTTAACAAATTTGAAGAAAACATTCAACTGGAGCTGTGTCGTCTAAATAACAAAATTGAATCTTTTGGCGACTGTGATTTTGATGTAGTGGCACTTATACAACGGTCTTTGACTAATGTTACCTCACAATTGGTAAGCCAATCATATCAACGCAACTTTATCACTTTCTAATATTTTTATTATGCTCCCTAAATTCGGGGGAGCATAAAGTCTCCGGGTTGTCAGTCCGTCAGTCCGTACGTACGTACGTCCCGAATTAGTGTCCGGCTCATAACTTTGTTTCACAGAAATGATCACCATATTGAGGCGACCTGTCGCGCATAACATTTTGGTCGCTACTTTGAAGGTCAAGGTCACAGCATAACCTTGCAGCAAAATCGTGTCCGGCCCATAACTTCATTATTTGAAGTCGAATTTTACAACTCATTCACAGAAATTTCACCATATTGGATCACCATCAGTAGTTAGATCTCATTGAGTAGAAGTGCCGTCCAAAGAACAGTAACTCTGCCTCGCCTAAGTTTGGATTTGTCACACTTTGAACTTTGTCTGGGACATACCTAAAAAACTACAAAAGATATACTTTTCTGTGTCCAAAACCTTGTCGGGGAGCATTACCTGGTTCTACCGGCTCCTGTTTTGTAAGCATTAATTAGTTCGATAGATAAATAACGAATAAGTAACAAACTTCCAAATACACTTAACGTGCCTAGAACTGCCAACATTTACCAGTTAAATAATATATAATAATTATCTATTTATCTATAAAAAATGTATTTTTAAGCTTGAGTATCAGATAATTATTTGCACAACTAGAAAATTGTTCAGTTAACATATAATGCGGAATGTTTCGGACATATCCCTTGCGTTTTATATTGTTATCTTTGCGGAAGGGAATTAATGATATTACACTTTTTGTATGCCTATATAAGCTTCAATCCAAGCTTATCTAAATAATGTTTTAATTTTTACCGGCAGTCATTGAATTGCCAAGCATTCCTAAAGAAGTTTTCAAAACTTGGCAAACAATAATTTACTAATTATTTTATTAAGTACTGTTCTTACTTAAAAAAAGATTAGAAAGGAGATGATGGATAAGCATTAGAATAAAGCACGAAGCTCGTGATAAGACATTTTCTTATAAAAAAACTGATAAAAAACCTTCACTGAAAATTACAGCTGATTGGTGAATCATTATCTGATGACGACAAAGATGTTAACATGTTTTGGGATTATGTTGCGGGAATCAATGTATTTGTCAATGCAAGTGTCAACAATATTCTAACGTTCATGCCTTTCTTGAGATATGCTCCGAGCTTTAAAAGCAAATATGACTTCATGTCCAGAGGTAAAGACACAATTATTGAGAGATTCTTCAAGAGCAGAAAGGTAAACCTGAAAATTATTTTAAAGAAATACTTTTGAAACTGTCAAAATGTGACAACATTTGTAAAGACATCTATAAAATATCTACAATAGGTACTTATGAAATTATTTCCTACTTCCTCTTGTATAAGAGAAATATAATAATTGGAACAAATTGATTTAATAGCTTCTCATTCTTTTTATTCTGTCAAGATGTGATCAAAGGCAGTCTTATCAAGAGGAAGAAGAACACAACGTCTACTGAAACACACAAAATCAGAAATGACACAAAAACAACAACATATTTATCCACTTTATGTACTTAAAACAAAATCTTGTATGCTTATAATAATGTCTTGTAACTCATGAAGATGAAATATTTCTAACAGAATAACGCTACCGGTTCATCAGAAGGTCTTGTTGATTATCTACTTGATGAGCAAAGAAAGACAATTGAAGAGGGAAAAGAAGTCATTTTTACGGATGAAAGAATTATCAGCAATATCCTAGAGACGGTGGGAGCAGGTAAAACATGAGTTGTTTTAGTGTATCGTGATTATATGCATGTATCGCTTGGCATAATTCTGTATTGTTCTAAAGCTTAGGATATTTTTATCACAAAAATGCATCTTAAAAATAATGGAAGTATTTTTTTTGAATTGTATAGAAATTATACAATTATTGAATTATATAGAAACTAAGATCCCAAATGACCTTTAAATATATAACACCAGTGGCAACTAACAAATTGTACTTCAGTGCAGGTACTAGATATCTAAAAATGGAATTTAATACAAAAGGCTATATAATATAACAACAGTAAGGATATAGAGGCCTTCGTATTTTAAGAATTTTAACTTTAAAATTTTAACAGAGATATCACATATGATGCAATGTTTGTCTTTCATTTCCTCATCCGGTACACATCGGTAACATGCTTTATTGTTAATCACAAATAATTTGATATCGAAAATGAAAACAAAGTGCTTCTTTTACAAACATTTGCTTATTTATAAAAGGAATTTAATGTATATCCTTTACTTTGGTCAAAACAGACACCAATGATATTATATTACTTATAGAAAATTAACAATTAAAGAGTAGTAAATATATCAAGATTGAGAGTTTGACACGGAGGACGGAAACTACAATTGAGGGAGCGTTCTTGCAAATAATTGCAAAAGTCAGTTTATTGATCTCAGTACTGTTTAATGCCACGAAAGTAAGTAATCATCCTGGCTAAAAATTAAAATTGCTTTCTCTGAACATCATCAAGTATGCCAAAGAGTTTTAAGTAATCAAATCTTAAATTGTGGTTGTACATTCGTGATAATAATCTCCGAAGCGACTTGTGCTATATTGATGATAGTTGTTTTAAGTGTCTGTGGCCATCCAACCAATCACCAGTATCCGCCATATTTCTGATTGACATTCAAGATACGGGGTTAGCAAAATAGACGCACGAACATCGGTGATTAAAATGTAATACATCAAGTGGAGCTAAATAAACGATTTCGTTTTATAAAAAGAAGATGAAAAAGAAAAAGAAGAAGAAGAAGAAGAAAAAGAAGAAGAAGAGGGAATTCAATATTCAAATAATAAAACTTACACGCCTTATCACAGTTTAAGTTTATGATGTTTCTCATGCAATAAAACAGCATCAGTAAATCGTACTTGACTGTTTTGACATGACTACTTCATCATTGGTTTATTCTATAGCAATTAATAGTTCAAACGTCATTTTCTGAAACACTATAACATTTTCACTAACTTATCAAATAATTAAAGCGTTAATTGGCTACTTTGAAAATCGTTAATGTTTTTCGAAAAATTAACATTAAATTTGTACTGAGATAAGTCAGCGTAAAAAAGTGATTGCATAAATTGTTAATTTTTGGTCAGACATGGCTCTGCTGTATAAAAATATTTCTTATTTCAATGAATAAAGACACAAATAAAATGTGAACAGATATGTCAGGTGTAGTGTTTGTGAAGTTTTAGCATGTATAACTTATTAAAACAATTACAAAGTCATTCCAAAATACATTTGCATAAACCATTTATTCCATTAATACAGGAATACTCACAACTTGGTCTGTACTGACGAGCTCTATTCTGTGTTTAGTCAACCACCCAGAATACCAAGACAAGGTATTTGAAGAAATTGATAAAAACATTGGTAGAGATAGCTCGCCTAATCATTCTGATAAAGTTCATTGCCCTCATCTAGAAGCTCTTGAGCTAGAAGTTCACAGGCTTATCACAGTTGTGCCTATCCTTGCTGGTAGCCAATGCTCGCGTGATCTTGAATTTGAAGGATATAATTTATCAAAAGGAACTTTGGTAAGAGATCTTGATATGTTCCGAGTATTCAATTTGATAGACATTGTAAATCATATTTTCTATCTCTAAATAATTAAAGATACTCCCCTCAAAATTGTACACTAAGATGATGGTCAAACATTTGATCAAATGATAATATTTTTAGTTCGTTCCTTGCAAGTTAATCAGCTTGTTAACTCTTCATGGTATCCATCTCTTTAATGTGTTTATATGACTTTTACAATTTTCCTGTTTAAATGTTGCATTCTGCTTAAGCCAGTGCTACAGGCCAACATTTTCATTTGTGTCGTTTTGGACATTCTTTAAGAAGTATCTTATTACAAAAAAGTAGATCGTTATCTGTTTTGGCTGAATATTATTAACATATACATATGATTGATATTTAACTTTGCAGATCATTGCAAACATTTGGTACATTCATCATAATCCGAAAATATGGGGAGATCCTTGGAATTTCCGGCCTGAACGTTTCTTGGATGAAGATGGCCAGCTTCTTCCTAGGGAACACATCTTTCGGCGAAAGTAATTATTTCATAGCGAACACATATTTCTTTTATTTCTTCTTGTTTTCAGACATTTTAAACTGACTTGTATGATTTGTAATTCTAAGTCTTTCGATCACTATTTTCATGTTAAAATATTCAGCTTAAGCCGAAACTAGGTGGCGTGGACGGTATCTTGCATATCCTGTAACGGTCATAGAAAGGCACAAATGAAACCGAGCCTGCAACATTTTTATCGTGCTATTTTGATAGTTCTTTAGAAGTTCTGATTTTTTCTATTTTGTTAGTTATCAAACATTTGTTTTATTTGATTCGTTGTGATTCATGTAAATACATCATTTAACAAGAAACTAATTTGATAAATCTTACGCAAAACACTATATTATTCCTATTCATTTCAGTTGCATACCATTTGCAGTAGGTAGAAGACAATGTCTCGGAGAGCAGTTTGCAAGATCAAGATATTTTCTATATATGGCTACATTGCTCAGAAAATGGAAATTTGTTGGTTCTCCGGGAAAGTTTGGGTCATGTGACCCTAGAGATAGTGCTTACATTGAAAACAAAGTCACATATCGAGCAAAGTCATTCTTTTGCACAGCAGTTAAGCGATAACTTTATACAGACGACGTAACATTTATTAACTCTTTACGTTTGAATTGTGAAAACTATTAATCCTGAATCAAATTGTTAATTGATCGCAAAACTCGTTATACATGTGGAAAAAGGGAGATCTCTGTCGTTCTGGTCGGGTCAATAAATTACAGTTTGTTTGTCTTATGTTCCTAAACATTGACAGAATATTTAATATATACGAATTAGCAAATTGTTTGGCAAAGTGCCATCAAAACCACCGGGTGTTTGTTACACCAACAGGCGTATTATAGTAAGATATTCTTATGAGACATTTAGGCACTTTGTTGGATGAATTGTTATAAAACTCACCATTAATGTATATAATAATGGGTTAATGATGCTGATCAAATCATTTCTAAATGTAATCGTAAGAATTTGAATATTGTCTCTCTGTAAATTAAAAATATTATGGATGATTTGCTTGCCGTAAAACTTATGTGTAACATTTAGATATATTGTAAGATGATTATGTATTACCATTGTGATTAATTTTCATTTTCATTTTAATCCATGTTTGAATTATAAAATTACCCTGTATAACACGAAATAAGTTATATGTTCATGAGAAAATTCTTTCTAGAGCCAAATTTTGCATTTCTTTGTTATTTTTAATAAAATTTTATGTTTCTGAATTCAAAAATAAATGTATTAATGTGGCATTTTGTCAATTCAAAAATAAATGGTTAAAGGTCCGGTAAAATCAAAATAACTTCACATTTCGTAATTTTTATTATAAACGTCACCTGAGTGTTGTACTTGTGCAAATATCATGGCAAGAACCATGCAATAACAACCGTGCCCTACACACATATGAGCCGTGTCATGACAAAACCAACATAATGGGTTTGCGACCAGCATGGATCAAGACCAGCCTGCGCATCCGCGCAGTCTGATCGGGATCCATGCTGCTCGCTTACAGACCCTATAACAAGTAGAGAAACTGATAGCAAACAGCATGGATCCTGATCAGACTGCGCGGATGCGCAGGCTGGTCTGGATCCATGCTTGTCGCAACCGCACTATGTTGGTTTTGTCATGACACGGCTCATATATATGGATATTCTTCAGAAAAAGAACAAACAAAATCAGAAACATGGAAATACGTGACAATACGACAACGTGGCATTGGCATTCACACACAACACACAAATTAATTCTTTTGATTTTGTTTGTTTGTTTGGATTTTTACGGCACGTCTACACAACACATGCCATATCTTGCCGAATGCTATAATAAGCTTAAAATGTAATGTAAAACTTTGTAAATGACAATAAAAATGAGCCAATTAGATCCTAGATTACATGTTTATCTCTTTCAAATCATCAATGATGTTTTGATAGTATTGTATTAAAGAGTTCTTTGAGTGAATTTACACAATAAAATTTATTACCGGCATGGAAAAATCATGACATTCAAGAAATAAATGCTTGACATTAAAATTTTCATTACAAGCTACACAGAAAGGAGCATTGTCATTCGTGAGGAGATAAGAGTGGGTAATTTTAGTGTGTCCAATTCGGCATCGAAGAGGAACTGTTTGATCATGGCGGTTTGGCAGAGATAGAGATGGTGACACATCAAGAGATGGGACTATATCGTGAAGTTTACTTAAAACGGCATTGTCCCAATTTGCTTTAATTTCAGATGATACGGTTGCTTGCCATTCAGATGATACGAGTTTATTTATAGCCGGTAGGTAACAATAAGTCAGTTTTTTTGAAAATTTAATGGTTGTTTAGCTGAAGCATCTACTTTTTCATTTCCTCGTATATCTACATGACTTGGAATCCAATATAATTTAACAGATTTTGTTTTAAGGATATCATGAAATCGTAAAAGAAGTTTCCTTATCATGATATTGTCAGATTTTTTATTTTTAATGGATATTAGAACAAATAGTGAGTCAGAAATTATCACACATTTTTCATGGGTATGCTGTACTATGTATGACAATGCTAAATGTATAGCTTTTGCTTTAGCAGAAAAAAATGATGCATTATCTGGTAACCTCATACTAGATGTAAAATTATTTTCAAACACAGCCGCACCTACTTTGCAACCTTCTTTTGAACCGTGCGTATAAATATGTATAAAATCTTCAAGTTCTCAAGGTGGAACATCCTCATCGTCATTTTGAAGGACACTGTCTGAATTAATATTAAGGTTATCTAAATCATCTTTTAAAGAAAAAAATAAAAAAATCTACAAAACAATAATTTTTCTTCAAATTTATATGACAGGCCATGTTTAAACATAAAAGAACGCGATTTAGGGTAATTTCAAGGATTTTCATCATTTTTTGTTAACCCATTACGTTATATAGACGCCTTTTAACGCCTTTTCACCCCCATTTTGTTGTCTCAAATGGTGAAAAAATGCCTTATTTAGGCCCCCGACACTTATTTTTGTTTGAGAAATGTTGTTTAAAAAAGTGACCTCTTTTTCGGTGCGGCCTCCCCCCCCAACCAAAAGATACATCAGGGGGTTGCCAGAAGGGGGATGTGCCCCCTTCAGTTTGGGGGGTTTGAAGGGGGCGGAGTCCCCCTCATCGCCAAGAAAATTTTGGACTTGTGAGAGGCTATAAATGACCCCAGATAATAAGGTAACGTGTAAACAACGCTAAAAAGCATTTGACTCTATCTGAATCCATTGAGAAGTTGCAGCACTTTGAAATCAATTTTGATGGAAAAAATCAACGCAAAATAGTGATGTTTGGCAATTTTGAGATGTCCCCTCGTTGCCATGGTAACAGAAAATTTAAGCCTGAGCATGTTGTTGCAAGGGCAATGGACCAGTCAACATTTGCGCCAAGTTTGATTAGTGTTGAAACAGTTTTAATAGCATAATAGCAATTTGAACCTTTAACGGGAGACTTTTCAATGAAAACAGCCATTTTTCACAAAATGCTCATGAAGTAATGGGTTAAACCAAGGCCTAATGGTTTAATTTCCTTTGGTTTGTTAACAAATTTTTCAGTATAACTTGGTTTGAAAATAATATTTTTAGCTGGATTTTTGATATTAGATGAAATTCTAGTTGCATATTGAAGTGAAAGCTTTTTTAGATGAATATGAAGCGATGGTTCCCCAGCTTCCGCATATAGACTTTCTACAGGTGAGATGCGAAAAACACCTAAAGCTAAACAAAAATTGGAAAGTAGCTCATAGACTTTGAGCTGGATAACGTTTGGCATCTTTATAAAATTTCCCAAACCAAAAAACGTCAGTAAACACGATATAAAAGAAGTGTTTTTTCACATGTTATCTGGCTTGGGAGAGACAGAATAATGTAATATTACAATAAGACAAAACATTTTACTTCCTATATAATAATGTGGTTAACGATGTTAGATGCTCCTAGATAATTTATTAATATAATTTAAAGATTTTGCTCTTTCTTATAAAGGGCGCTAACCACAAGTGATAAATAGTGCTAAAATACATTTACCAACACATAAATGCCCCATCGAAATACAAAAAACGAAAATAAAGAGCACATGATGGTGATATGTACATGACACCGGCAAATTAAACAGAAAGATAAGGATACTCCGTCAACGGAACCAATTTTAAAATGCATCTATGACTAGTTATTACCAAAGTACTCAAAATTAAGCGTATAACATAAAACATTTCTTATGAATTATTAAAGTGGCCTCACAAATGTTATCGATACATCTTTATTTTATCGAGCCATAGTTTTCATTTAAGATGCATTAGCAATATGTGTTAACAATTGAATATAAGGGCAAATATCAATAGCTTCTTATAATGTATTACTGTAAAGGGTAAAGTAATTTGTTTTTACAAAGCATTTTTGTCTTAGTAAGCATTATACATTACATTATGCTTTAGATATATCTACATTTAAAATTTGCAATCTACATTGAATCTATCCGTTGCTTAGGTTTGATAAAAGCATGGCGAGTAAACATATAAATTACGAATAGCTGTTAAACATTATCTTTAGTCATATTAGTAATTAATTTGAAATAACTAGGATAATTGCAATAGTATCTCTTAATATATTTTGTACGAAGTTTTTAAACATATTACACACAAGTACAATATGGTATTAATTAATCTAGATTTGCTAAAATTGAAATAAAACTTTTGTTCTTCTGAAATATCCTCTTGTCGAGTCTTTTAATCTGGTATGAAGGTCAAGCAGTCATAAATATTTTATCATTTGCTTTAATATCAATAAATAGAGCTCTTTATTTTCAACAATTTGGTTTTACTTTAACCTGTTAACAACCAGTAGCTACATTTGGTTCGTTGGCGATGAACATTTATGACGATGTGTTTCGAGCATGAATCGGTCCTCAGTTTAAAGATGAAGGTCACACTTGCATGTCAATGTCATGATATGTATTTTTTGCATGGATGTATTTGTTCGGTCTACAATTCTTACATTCCTCGGCTGGATGAATTTAAAAAATATTTGGCAAACATGCGTAAAACATGAGGATGATGATGACGATGTGTAATGCATATGGGTCATGTCCCCAGTTCAAAATTCAAGGTCACACCTGTACATAAAATGTTGAATAGATGGTTTTGTTTTGCACATAGCTTTCTCAGTTCTTGGTGGACTTTGAAATAGATTGGATAAATATGCTGCTCATTATGATAGCACGTAATGAACAGGATTTAGTTCAACTGCCCAGAGTTCATACTTGAATGTCAAATGTCATGATATGACAGTCCATATCTTTTTGTCATTTAGTGACATATTTGGTAATAATTTGGCTTAACTGTATGGTTTCTGATAAGTTTGCAGTTTAAAAAATAAGGTTTCTTTAAACCAATATTGCTTAAAGATCAAAGTCACGCTTGGACTTTAGGAGGTGTATACTTTTATAAAAGCCCAGGCATCAATTCTGTCATTCATAAATGGATTTTGAAATAATTGAACACATAAGAAATTTATCAAACAATAACGCCAGGGCAACATAAAAAAAAGAAACTTGTACTTAAATGTGAAAATAGTTCATCGATGGTTGCGTCTGGTAATATCTTTGTCAGTCATTCATTGAACGATTATGAAATAATTGGACTCACAGAGAATAAGAGAAAATTTTAGTTCTATGTTCATGCAACCATACCTATGATGCAAGTATGCATGTCAAAGGTCATGGCTCCTCTACTAGGTCCTGATTTAAGGCATTTGTCTGTTTTCAAACAACAGCAACAAAACATAAAGATGATATTTTGAAGACCTCTAAAGATCAAAAAGGATAAAATATTATCGATATTATTATTTTAATTGTAGTTCTTCTTAAAAGGGAAAACACTAAAAAGATAGTTAAAAACAACATGCTAAGATTTTATATTAAAAACAAATTTAGATGTTTCCTTATTTATAGACATTAAAATTTG